GCCCGTCTTCACCGCCCTCGACCTGGACCGGAGCGGCAAAGTCTCCAAGTCCCAGCTCAAGGCAAGCCGAAAAGGACGCGCGCGTGCGTGCGTGCGTGCGTGTGTGTGTGTGGAAGCGAGAAGAGCCAGCGCGGCGGAGAAACTCTTGGGTCACGTCTCTTGCCTCCCCCCCCCTCCGGCGGCAGCGGCGGCGGGCACCTCCTCAGGCCTTTGCCAACGGCGCGGGCCGTCGGAGCACTTCCCCTTTTCCCCCTCAGCGGGAGGCCGGGCGAGGGAAGGCGGGAGGACGGAGCTCTGGCCACCGCGGGAGGTGGAGAGGCTGCACTGGGGTTGCGCGCCGCGGGCGGCTGTGCAAAGTCCCCCTCAGAGCCCGATTTCTGGCGCCTTGGAGAGCCAGCCAGAACCGTGCGGCGCAAAGACGCGCGCTGCCGCTTTCCACACCCAAAGCGGTTGTTGGCCGTGGCAGAAGAGGTTCCCCCTGGAAAAGGGCTCCCTTCCGTGCACCTCTTCTTACATTGGGGGCGGGGTGTCCCTTGGATGGGCGGCTGGAAGCTCAGCTCAGAAGAGGTCCCTTGCGGTTGGAGCCCTTCTGAGCTGAGCGTCCTCGGCAGAAGCGAGGAAAGCGGGCGGCGCCCCCTTGCCCACCTCGGGGAGCGTCTCCAAGGGGGAGGGGGGAGGGCAGCAGCCTGTCCCTCACCGGCGCAGGGAACTCAGCCCTTGGATTTTGGACCCACTCTGTGACGAGCTGGTGAACTAGGTATTGAATGAGACGTGGGCTGTGTCTGCAGACGCTCAGGCCGCATACAGTGTGACTGTTTTTAAGGAGAAAGTTCTTTCCATCTGTTTCTGTGCCTGCAAGAAGTTTTTCCGTCGTCGGCTTAAAGCATGTTGTTCGCATGTGTCTGGAAGCAGGCGCTTTCTGGACTCAGGCAGCGCTCGATTTCAAAATCAGGAGGGTCTGTTTTGGTAAAGGCTGTAAGGTCAGGAAAATTGTACCCTTATCAGGACCAAGGCAGTTTTTCTTAACCATTATTAATTTCTTACTGCAATATTGAATTTGCTAGCAGTTAATGAAACTTTTATCCCTTTGTTACTAACTTTTCCAGGATTCTTCTCAGCAAAGTGTGCAGAGTCCTAAGTTTTTGAGGTATGTGTATCTTGAAACACACCAAACGAAGCGAAGAAAATTGGGGAAATTTTGTGTGTTTCCCCTTAACAGTACTGCTGCACCTAATAAAGTGCAGCAGTACTGTACATCAGCCCACAGTTTGTCTTTGGACTGGTTTCCTCTGTCTCAGGCAGGACAAAGATTAAGAGCTCCCTCAAAAAGGCTGCCATGGCAAACACACTTTCACCTGCTCCACACATAAAAGGCACAGAGACGTACACTAAACGTCTCCATTCTCATCTGCTGTTACCCCATTGTGCTCCTCACAGCTACTGTTTCCTCTGTGTTTCCAGTGTCCTCCTAAATCCTGATGGGTTTCCTTGATTGCTGTGCTGTTCCCCCATTAATCAGGCAGCAATGACCTGGTCACTTTGTCTTCTGGTCTTTTTCCTTCCTTGGTTGGCCAGGACCCTTAAGAGCTTAATTATCACTTCTCATCATCTACAGTTGTTAAATATGTCTCTGGGCCCACGTGATTCCTAGACTTATTAATGGGAAATGAAGCTTTGTTTTGATGATGTGATCCCAGCTGCCAGAAAGGAAATTATTTTAAATAACAACAGCAATGACAATAATTGGGATGGTTTGGATACTTTATCAGGTGCTTCAGCAGGTTCCTGGAACACACCAGCCATTGAGGACCCTGTGTTGCCAAATCCACCTACAAATACTCATAGGTGGGCATTTGGTATAAAGTAGCATCATGTGTTTGCTCCTGAATTGTTAAAATTATTAAATGTTTGTTTCTAGGAGTATTTTTAAAATATTTCTTGTTGTGGTGGTAGGTAACTGGAAATGGGTAAATACTCTTTTATTTTCGTATTACTCCCTAACTCATTTATTCTGATTGGTGGGACTGAGTTTGGATTTATGAAACAGGCTGGGAAGATAGGAAATATATACTAAGCCAGACTATTTGACTTAATTTGAATTTTAATTTTTTTAACCATTTTATTTTCTATCCTTATTATCAGTCATTCTCTCAAGTTTCTCAGGTCAAGGTCTTTCCCAACATTTCCTATATGATTGTTTAACTTGGTAATGCTATCCTGGATCATAATTGGGACCACAAGGCACATCTGTAAAGAAACTGATGACTACATATATTTTATTACAGCAGTTATCCCATTTTTGTGATTTATATCTGATAAACCTGACTTCATTCTTTGCATCATATGTGAAAACTAGATTGAACCCAAAATCTCCTGCTGACAAAAATGTGCTCTATCATTGGGCTGTGATCCCTCCTCTGGCATTTGGAACAGTAGGCTAAACATTTTCCTTTGAAACAAAGTCATCATTATTTGTATCTGTTTGGAAAATGTTAGATGATTGGACCAGAATATACTTAGCTAAAACTCAGGAACGAACTTTAGATTTAGATTGGACTAAATCAGAATCTGGAGCCTTCTGTCACTACTGTAACATATCTTCAAACTTCACTGAATTATAATAGACTTTGTTCTTGCAGCCCATTCTATCCCCTGTTGATGTGCAGCACGTAGGCCAGGTTGTCTTGCACCATGATTGGGGTTGCTAGGCTCAGTGGTAATGGTGCTGACTGATACATATACTTTATGACAACAATGATCTTTTTTGTGTTCCAAAACTGACAAACCTGACTTCATTCTTTGCACCATAAAAATCTATAAAAGCTCATCTCTTCGCCCCTTTCAGTTGTCTGCCTTAGAGCCAACATTTTCTTTCTGCCCCAGTTCTCTGTGACATGCAAGCACCCACATGAAAGAGCTGGCTTTGTTTCAGCTGTGTGTGGAGCTTGCCAAGGGGAGACAGAATTTCTATACCCTTCTTGGACAGCAAACTGGGGATATAGTCAAGGGTCCCTTTCTTTGCCATCTACTTTGCGAAGCGTTCTCCACAAAAAGCTCACACAGCTTGTGAAACTTTTGATCAGAAAAATCTGGGCTCGCTCCGTCAGACTCTTTTGGCCTTAAATTCCTCAAGTTAAGCCAACTATGAATAGTGTTTTGAATTGGACTTCTTACACCTGCGAAATGCTTCAGACACTAAGTCATTGTAATGATCACTAAGTCAGCTGTAGCTGCTACAGCTAGCCAAATTGTGATCTATGTTATTAGTTCAAAGAAGTATCTCTAGGGGTGCAGGGAAAAGCAAAAGCATGTGTGATTATTTCTGAACTCTTCTGGATTTGCTAAGGAACTCAGAGCTGTTCTGTCACAGTTGACCTTGCACAGATTTCTGAAGTACAGTGGTGCCCCGCTTGACGACGATAATCCGTTCCAGCAAAATCGCTGCAGAGCGAAATCGTTGTCAAGCGGGGGGGAAATCCATTGAGTGTAGAGCGAAATCGTTGTCAAGCGGGGGGGGGGAACCCACTGAAACACATTAAAACCTAGTTAATGGGTGAAATACATCCAATGGGCGAAATACCTCATCTTCCAGTGAAGATCCTCCATAGGGAAGCCATTTTCCGGTGCCTATAAAGCGAAAAATCAGTCCTGAAAACAGCAGGGAGCCATTTTGCACAGTGGGTGGCCATTTTGAAACCCGACAATCAGCTGTTTTTAGATTGTCCTAATGTGAAGAATCGGTTCCCGAAGCAGGGAACCGATCATCGTAAAACGAAAACTGCCCTTTGAAACATCTTTTGCGATCGCTATAGCGATCGTAAAAACATCGTCATGAAGCAATTTCAGCGTCAAGCGGGGCACCACTGTATGTGTGTAATTTTTGTATTGCTGTTCATACATTATTCTAGTTAGAAGTATTTAGATATGGTTTTGAGTTGTAGGCGGTAATCTGGAGTCCAACATTCATCCCTGCATTACACGATTGCAATAGCGATCGTAAAAACATCGTCGTGAAGCAATTTCAGCGTCAAGCGGGGCACCACTGTATGTGTGTAATTTTTGTATTGCTGTTCATACATTATTCTAGTTAGAAGTGTTTAGATATAGTTTTGAGTTGTAGGCAGTAATCTGGAGTCCAACATTCATCCCTGCATTACACATATTGCTGTGGTTGTTGTCTTGGAATCTAGGAGGGTGTTTGGTCATTATGGACTGAGCTGGGGAGCAGAAGGGCAAAGCAACTACCCCTTGCTATTCCTTCTGCTTCTCTGTAGAGTTCAGAGTAAGATGTTTGTATCTCTGTTCCTCTACCTTCTCTCCAGCAGCGAGGTATGCAAGCTATCCTTGGATCAAGTGTATCCAGATGTTGCCACAAGGGAAAAAAGGAGTGCCTTGGTTTGGACATGGTGGAGAAGCATAGAGAGCAGGAAGCACAACGTGTGTTTTGTTCTTTGTTCATACTCAAAGACTTGTACATTCAAAGCTTCTCTAAATGATTGCTAGGGTAATGGGGGGTGGCATATCAAATTTCATTATGGAGCTGCTGTGTAAATCTTTTCCTTGCTTTTTATATTGGGGGAAAACCCAAGCAGGAAAAAACCTTTCATATAATTTGAGTAGCAAGTTGGATGTTTCCAGCCTCTTAAGAGGCCAGATTTTGCACTGCTCTGTGATTAGTCACATCATGTAGTATACTTTGGTTTTTCTCTTTCGTTGCATTTCTAAATAAATACTGTCTTCTGGGTAGACAAAATCACAGTGTATCTGTTCCAGAGGAATACACTTTCCTGTTCTTTTATTATCTACACTGTATAGAAAGACTTTTTTTTCTTTTTAAACCTTCCTTTATGGTTTGTTTTGCATATGGCAGTTTCAAAGCCTGACAGACTAAGGGCATGTCCAGACAGGATAAGTTGGAGCAGGCTGGTTCGTGCTTGAAAGGTTCTTATTTTTAGTGCCATCTATGTTATCTCTCACTTCAGCGATCCATCTCCTTATACTGATCGCTGTTTTTTGTCCTGTAAGTAGGGTCCAGACAAATCTTTGGATCACTCCAATTTG